CACATTAAATACAAACATGTCATTTCTTAACATTTACTTTTCCCATGTGTGTCCATGTAGAGCTGATGAGGCAGGATGACAATCACCAATATAGTCCACTCCATAAGTTACCTGTCAGTCCATGTGGCTTGGTTTGTTTGTAATAAATTAGTGTAAACACAACAAACAAACCAGAACTAAAAACCAAAACCCTTTTTTTCCTGTGGTTCAGGTCAGATGAGCCAGATAGGCATAATAGTAACCTTAACTTAGTAATTAATTAACAACTAAAAAGACCATCACTGCTGCCATGGTGAAAGCTGGGAATACTGCAGTAATTCTTATACATTCGCACAGTGGTAAATTTCAGGTGAATTAAATTGGAATGAAATCAAATTATTCCACATTTTTCTCAGAAGCCCCTGGGAACCCTGTCAGGGTCCTTAGGCGCTCCCTGGAGCCCACTCAGCACAGCAGAGCTGTTAATCCTCTTAGAACAGCCTACAGATTTATAACTGTCATTCTGAGGCTGCATCCCTGGAGTTCTCACAATCTAATTGAATATCTGACTCACTCCTTGGTCACGCTTTGCTGTTGGTCTCAGTAGTAGGTGCACCAGTTGCTGTAATCACTGGGCATCAGGCCGCCAGTAATGAGCAAGATCAAGTCCACAAACCACCAGATGCCCAGGCCTCCCAGGGTGAGCAGCTTCCCGACAGCAGTGCCGGTGTGGCCCAGGCAGAAACGATCGACCCCGAAACAGCCCAGGAAGAAAGAGTAGAGCAGTGTGGTGATAAAATAGTGCCCGGTGTATCTGTGCATAACCAACAGCAAGAGGTACGTTTAGGGTTATTTAATGTCAACCAACTGTGCAATTAATACATCATGAACATTAGTTGTTATATTTAATTTCATCACCTTTAATGTCAATTTGTATAATTTCTGAACCTGTATGATAAAAGTTGACTGTGACAAAATAAATATTCTAATATACTCCAAGATAATATGATATTGAATAAACATATCAGAAGATTCTAAAAAAGGCTAGTGAATCTCCAAGGAGTCGATACAATAAAAGCAAAATCTGTGGGCAGTCTGAAGAGGGACTGAACATCATGGGCTGCACAAAGGTAGCATTGATCCAAGTGCTGGACTGCAGTAGTGTCTTTGCACAGGTGCTGCTTTGATTGTGTCCAACCACTGCATGTTTCCCATCTCTATGCAGTTACTATAGAGATTAGCCCCATGGGCTGATTTATGCAGTAAAATGCTGGGTAAACATAGTGTGCTACGAACACATGGGGGGGGAAAGTGAAGTGGTGGTTCTATACATTTGAACACATTGCCCTCTAGTGGCGATACCATAATACTACAGATTGTCAATTCACTGGATCAGTTTACACATTTCTGAGCATCTTAACTTGATTTGTAGATCTGGAAATGTATTTATCTACAGTGCCACATGGATGAAACACCTCTTGGCAAAAACATCTGCCTTTCTGCAGTAAATCTGTAAGAAAGTTGCTCTGTCAATACTTCCTATATTTTGTTACTTTTATAATCCTTTTTTGTTACTTTGTATGCATTAGTCCCAATACTCAAGTCTCATTCTTATCTATGT